AGCACAATTCTTCCACCAAAGAATACAAGGAGTAAATCCTCCTGGAGCTGTCCCAGCCTCTACTCACGCTGCGCATCATTGTCCCAACAAATGTTACCACCGTACTGATTTCTCTCTAAGAAACAATGGAAAATAAAACCAACACACAAACTTCATATGCCAGCAAAGGTCAGGTAATGCGCACTGAAATGCACAAATACGGTAACTCATTTTAGATACATTTAATGTGCATTGCCGCATTTAATGCACATTAACTTTCATACTAGGTTTGGAGTTCCCTGCACCTTGACTGGTTAACAGTTTACAAAGTGAAAACTAGTTTTAGCTTGACTTGACCTTTCTGACAAAACTGAACATTAATGTTTAGTGAGACCTCATTTAAATTTGTATCCATAAGCAGATTTTACCCCAATTGGGGTCATGATGAGATCAGTTTTGTATTGAGAATGGAACAGCCACATGCTACATCTACAGCATATAGTGCAAGGACTACAGACAGAAGGTGGTGTTACTGACTTACCTGATGAAAAAGGTGCAAAACGAACATCATGCTTGTCCATTTTGAATGATATCTTAGCTGATCTACGTAGATAATGTGTCCTCAGTGCAGCAATGTGCCATTGGAAACAATCCCAAGCAATTCACTAGACTGCGTCTAAATACGAAAAAAATAAAAATAAAACAATATTGTTAACTTATGCATGCCTGTTTTCAAGGATTAACTAAAATGGTAGGTACAAAATAAATTTTTGAAAACCAAGTTAACAAACAAGTAAGCGATAGATTTAGTTGCATAGCAATTGTAAGCCAAAAAAAAGATAGAGACTAGGTCTACGAGTAAAATTGATATTAGACATATTGAGAATCAGAGAAATGGGATGAGTGAGTAGTTCATGTAATACACTGATAAATACATCCCAAACAGTTGCACAAGGTAGAGACTGAGAACTCCTTTCAGTTCAACAGGTGAAATTTGAGGGAACATAAACAGATACTAGAATTTTGGAAGTTGGATGTAAAATAAGTACACTAACTTTCAAACCAGTTTAGAAGATACCATAAACTTTCTACTGAAGCTCCAGTGGGAGTGAGCACCAAGTTCCGTCAAGTGAGAAATAGTTTTAAAATCGTACAAAATGTGGGTCGAAGAATAAACATAACCTTTAAAATACGTAACAATACCAAGGGCTCTCTGCACTCTGGTGCCTACCTAGGCCTACGACAAACCAAGTGAACGGCCGTATGCATCTTATACTCTCAAAACCTTACCTTTACTGGTGCTTCTAACATTCTTCACTTCAAAATTATTCAAGAACTCGTCTCAAACCCACTACTAGCAGTCACTTTCATTTAAATTGGCTCAATAAATGCATCGAGTAAGTTCACAGTACATTCACACACCGGACATGACGTAGTTGTTTATTTTCCTTTTTTCTGACACTAGCTCACGACCCCCTCCCACCTGCGACAATCACCTGTCACAAGCAGGTAAAGAATGCCCCGCTCGTCTTTATTTTGGAATAATTAGTCAAAAACTCTTGGGTTTTAAAAATTTCATCATACGGCCAAAGTTTTAGATTTTAATTTTCCCGGAATCTCACATGTAATACGCAAAATGGGAGAAGGTTGGCAAAAAAAATAGGGTAACATAACCTGCAACCGGAGGGGGCCGACTTCCGCCAACAGGTGGGAGGAGGTGAAGCAGAAGAAAGGAAGCAATCTGAGGTGTTTACGTTTCGTCTGCAAGGCGCAATTCCGATAAGCACTGGTGGTTTACGCATTTATTTACTTTGACCGCCTGTCTATTTGGTATCTTTTGCAGGGATTCGCAGTTGTATCCGTTATAATGTTATTATCACTCCACCTTGCACAGCAGCCCGCCTTTAAAGTTGTTCTCCTGCTAATGTTACTGTTGAGAGTGAACAGTCACTTCACGTACACTCTGCTGTACACAAATGTCCTTCCCAGTTTGGTTGTACCCAAGTGAAACACGAAAAAGAAACCAATCCCTGTTCTAACAACTTATGATACCATTTGTTTCACTGAGAGCTTGTAACCAGAATAACGCCTGCTGGCTGTCTTGTATTTTCTTGTGTGTGGCAGTAGTACTGATACTTTTTGTATTCGAATGAGTGAAGCAATGATTGTGAACCACAATTTGCAACAACTTGAGGCACTTGAGGCTTGTCAAAGTCTTTTACATTTAACAACATGTGGTATGTAGCTTGGACCGCTGTATATTCTGCTTTTTTATTTTGTCCTCAATTACTGTACCACCTCTACTGTAGACATGTGAACATGTTTACGACTGCTATGTACCTCACTGTTACTCTTATAGTCATTTCAGCGTTACTTTGGTCTAGGGGTCCAGCGGCAATGGTGCAACTCTGTGACACAAAGTCTAAAGTAATGCCGGACCGACTATAAAATCCTTGGTTGTTGCAGTTAATACAATCAGTGTCTAACACATGAGTTTAAAGTGTTCTTCATACAGCATGCCATTAGCAAAATTTGACCTTGCTTTCTTCTGTTTCCAGGTCTCTGTTCATGACATCTAGAAACATGTTAGAGTTGAAGATTATGTCTAGTGTCATACAAAGATTGCATTCAAAGAGTAAGAAGCCTTTGGCATCCGAAGTCCTTACCTGTTACCTGCTGCAGTGTAAGGAGCCTCCATGGACTTCTTACTTTGTCCGATATAGCAGTGTGAAGGATGATCAATGGGGCCTCTCACATTTCAACTGGCCCGCAGGAAACTCAAACTACCATATTCTTCGCACTGGCTGTTACCCATTCATTAAGTATCATTGCTCAAAGCGTCATCATCAGGATCTTGCATTGGAAAATTTTCTAATGCGATTGATCAAAATTACGAACTTGTGTAAGTATTTTAACTCTGTCTTTGTGATCCCTTTACCTTGGCCATGTTCATGAGAGTCTCAGTTCTTAGTTATGGTTCAATGGATTTTCTATTATTACTGCATTTTGGTCAGTCAGGAAACGCAAAGTTCTGGAAAAAATAGAATTATATAGACTCTATGGACTCTGAACTTGCCCCAAATACTTAAATTATTTGTTGATCTTTTCAGGCATTCCATGTTTATTGTATGGTTTAGCTGCAACCCAGCTAATAAGACATGAAGAAGAAGTACACACACAACATGGGCCTGTAAACATATATTTTCTCTACCCAGAAGACAAGGGATCTCTTCACTAATGTATGTTCATGAATTCTACTTGTATTTTTAAATAGAAATTTCAAATTATAACTTGAGCTCTGTGAACCAAATTGTAACTCTGCTGTGTAAGTAGTCATTTTAAAGTTATATACTTTATGTTTAGGTCATCAGTTTTCTAGTCAGTCCTTGTATTTTTATCAAGTAAACCCATTTGTATTTGAGCTCATTTCATATCACTCCTGATTCAAGAAACTCATTGTGATCTTATTCTAGGAAAAAGGATATCTTTTATTTATAAGGAATTATGTAAGGATAGTGTTTTGCTTGTTTTTTTCTGGTATATGTTGCAGATACATCACATCTAAATTGCAATTTCACGTTTTATTTCAAATTGTTTCCAGTCCTCTCATTTTTCCTTCTCTGTGTTTCATTGAGTGTGTCCGAATTCTCCAGTGTGTTGACACTTCTCAACACAAGTTGTGTCAAGGAGTAAAGTGGAGCAGCCTGACCTAGCTGTGATTGGCCGCTCACGCTACTCTGCTCCACTCCTTGACACAATTTGTGTCGAAAAGGCTGGACACATTCCGACACACTCGTTGCCACAATTTTGTAAGTAACAACTTTGTACCCCATCATAACAACTAAAACTTCAGTGTACATTCCTTATGATTTTTTTCCCTCATTTCATTCTTAGAGAGAATGATGGTCTTGTAAAGATTAAAGAAATGTTGATTTTTCACTTGCAATATTGTTTGTACTGAGTTTGCAACTAACTTCAATATTTTGAGAGAAAAATATCAAGAAAAATGCAATAAAAGACAAATGCAAAGCTAAAACAATTAGTGCTTGGTTTGTATTTTGTCCCTTCTAGTGCGTTTGTTTTATCAGTGACAGCTCACCCAGTTCTTCAAATTTGCATGACTTTTTTTCTCTTGAGGCAAGCAGAGTAACTACTGGAAAGAACCGTGAGGGCAGTGCAAAGTATGGATATTGATTTATTCAGTGGAATATCACACCCAATGGATAAAAAAGATAATTTAGGATATGTGAGAATTTGCTTTAGTAAGGAAGGAGATACAATATGTTACTTTTTGTTTCTAAACGGTGACTTGCAAAATTTTTGTCATGTCTTACTGAAATGATGCTTCTCAGTACAGTATGCACATGTCTGACCCGAAAACAAGATTTGTGTAAATAGTTATGTCACATGGTACCACAGGAATAATAATAATAATAAAAAATAGTAGTAGTATTTATTGCATCACACATGGACAAGTGAGAACACTGTCTAGAGGAAATAAAAAGTGGAAATATGGCAAGTCCGTAGAATCACACCTCCTGGGTGCTGCTAGTGCTGTATGGATAAAAAAGAAAGAAAAGATAACCTACCTATAATGACTGAAAATAGTACTCTTTTTTTTCTTTTCGACAAGGGTAGTAGGTACTAGAATAATATATTCTTTTATTTGTTTCCCTACTATGGGTATAGTGAACCACTATGAAAGGTGTTCTCATACAGGAGGAACCAATGTACAAAGTAATTGCAACTTTCTAGTGCCAATTATGGTCAGCTGCTACCTTCAAATCAAACTATATTTAGATATTTAATGTCACAGAAATGCCATGAATCAGAAATTAGGGATAGAGCAGGGTGAGGTAAGAAAAGGTAACTCGATAAATTAACAATGTTTGTTTCACAAAATTTGGTAAATATGCCTTATATTGCACAATTTAAGACAGTTTCTACAGTAAAATTTAAACCCGCCACTGGCAAATATCTTGAGAAGGTCATGAATTATCATGAAAAAAGTCTTTTTTTTTTAAAAAAAAATGTGCCATTCAAAACAAAATTACAAATTTTCAAAATCTGCAAGCGCTTTAAAATTGAAATGAACAGAATCATATTTTAACTGAGTTTTCAATGTATAGGTGCATATAAAAATTTGAGAAAGTAAAGAAAAGAGGAATGGTACAGTTAGGATAAAAATACAGTGTAAAAGCTGGGTAGAACCCTCATACAAGCTCTAATTTCAATAGTCTTAAATCGACAAGTGGAAAATGTGTATACAAATTCATCTATCTGCCAGGTACGTACATAAATGTTCTACACAAAGGAAATCAAAAATAGAGGCATGTATGGAACAAAATGCAGGAAACAGTGTCCGTTCTGAGGGAAGAAAATTGAGATGAGTGTTCAGGTAATCACTTTGATGATCAAAGTCAGCTAATTCAGACAAAAATATGATTTTGGCAACCTACGTATGAAAACTTACAGAACAAAGTACTGAATCTTGGTAGCATCCGTTAACTGACACAAAGACAATACCTTCAATTCAAAACTCAAACTAAAATTGATATTGCTAGATTGACAAATAAAATGACTGAAAATAAACAGATTGTCAAAATGAAATGCATGGTAAATACATTTCCAAATAAGTAACAAAAGCATTACAAACTACTCCCTCGCTAATCCATAGGATATAACTAAGACTGGAGGGTTTGAGAGACTTCATAACCCATATCACGATAAAATATTAATAATAACAAACTCATAAACTTCCAAGAGGTACCAGTCAACATTCAGGAAATTGGTGACATAAGCACCTCTGAAAGTGCACAGCAGACCAGTTAACTGCAGAGACACATGGTAAAAACCTCAGACCTCTCCTTAATTCAAGAAACATAATGTAACTAGATTCTTCCTTCAGTATTCATAAGTTGTGGCTCTTTGATTCACCCTGTGAAAATCTTCAACGGAATAATGATAAACATCAACTGGTAATACCAAAACACTCCATCAAACAGATGAAGAAATTACTTTGCAAAAGTGAATCTTTAATACTAATTTCACTAAACAAACCTTAAATATCATGTTTTCTAGCATTATGTAATGTCAAGAATGGGACATAAATAACAAAAATAATAATAATACAAACTATGCAACTTGGTTAACGATTCACATTCTTTTTGAAGGAAGAGAGATACATACCCAGTTTCTTTGCATTATTCACATCACATAAAATATCAAACAACACCATGTATAAAAAACACGAGACAACAAGAGGAAACCCACAACATTATAAGGGAAATATTAATAAATCATCCAAAATTATTATCTGTCAAAATTCGACATCAACATTAAAAAAACACAATTAAGTAATGTCTAGAGAACCTTGGTAGCTAAGAAGGAAAAGGCAATATTGAAGCAGGGTTCCTAGGGGCTACTTGGTGCACATGGGCACAGCATATAAAAAAATACCTACAACTGACGACATAAAATTTTGAAATGGTTGTCAAAGTCAACCCAGGTACCATAGAACAAATCACTATTAAAGGCAGTTTGGCTTTTAGTTCTGCCTAAACACTTTACTGCAAACATCTTCATGTAAAATAGATAATTTCTCACTCCAGTCATAAAATAAACTTGCTACAAATGATTCCTTTCTTGATCCTTCTATAGAAAAGATTTGAAAGAATGGTTCATTTTTCTTATACTATTAAGCTGAGTCGCTCGGAAACACAAGGACATTATCAGAAGAAAATGGTGGTGATGGGGACTGTGGTGGAGAGCAGCGGCTTGCTGAGCTGAGGCTGCTGGAACTCAGATCTGAACAGCTTGCAAGTGATTGGCACCCTCCTAGAAGAAAAGAAAGAAAAATAAATCATATAAAACACATATTTTAAAAAATTACTTAATAAAAGGAATTTGTATCTCATGTTATCCCCTGCTTGCTTGTATTCAAGTTCAGAAATAATAGGAAAGTATTAGTCTACTACAAAGTGAAGTTTCCTTTAGAGGATGGTATATTTAAGTAATTTAACAAAGAGGACAGGGCATTAAGCAAAAATAAGATTACCACTTCCATATAAAAAATAAATGTATTTGCATATAAGTGTACAACACAATATTGGGTTTACATCTCCAAAAATGCTCAACACCAGGCATGTCTTTATTTAGACGAAATTTCAGTGTTATCTGCCTGGTGATAGGAGGTTGGGTAAACCCAAGCAGGACTTTTACAAAGTTTTTTCAGCCAAAAACACAGTAAAGAAATCAGTAATGTTTAAGACGTTTTGCCTAAAAGATTAGATTACCATTACATTGATGTTTCCACTGAATCTAATGCACCTTACAATAACTCAATTTCAAAGGTGTAATAAAACCAAAATATTAGGCCAGGAATTTCCACCATACTAAAATTAATTATGTATCTTTATAGGTTCAAAAGAAGAAAAGTGACAGGATATAGGTGAGATATTATTTTGACTAAAAGTTTAAGTGAGTAGCTATTTTCGCACATGTACCATTCAAAGTTGATAAGTGATACGGGATCAGCACTCACAACACAAAATACAAACATAGACAATAACCCGTGACTGACATACAAGCAATGCACCGTCATTTAGCACACTGTCATACCAAAAGTTTTCTCCATTCATTTTAGGTGTCCTTTGTACATCTTTATGTATCCATTTTTCTGATCTAGATTATGAAAAGCATGACAATGGTGGTACTTACAGAGGAGTAAAATACACATCACCTTATACAAAGAGAATACGGTACATAATTTTTTCAACACAGTCAGAGGATAAACACAACAAACTTTAAAAGAAAATCATGACAAATTCATGAGCTATACAAATTCTGTTCGTGAGGCCAACATTTCAGTATTCCTCGGCCTTTACTTGGCTTAACTTTCAAAAAACATTAAAATCATCTCAAGCCATATGTAGCAGGCTATTAGATTGTTTCATGATATGTAGTTGCCAGTAACTGGTAAAAACACAAACACCGCAATTGACAAAGAAAATAAAAGCAAAATTAGCAAGCTAGCTGTAATCTTAAAGTATGGCATACATTTTTTTTCCTGTTTGGGTAACTTTTCTTACTTGTCTATTTTCTGCTAATAATGTTAAACTTATACCAATAAAACCAACTGCAATAAATAAACTGGCATGTTGCACAAAAGTATTATGGTATTACAGTAAGTTAGTGCACCAAGTACAATTAATGACACCCAAGTCTACCAGAATACCTTTAGAGAAAAAAAAACATGAAAGCATGCATGTTTAGTGGCTTTTGAGATTTTAATATTTTTTTGTCTTAGTTTTTACATTTCTTTGGCTGAACACAGTCTGAAAGAAAAATCTTCCTACTTGAAGACTGCTTATAGTAGGTACTTAAATTCAAATCATCTATGACTGAAAAGAATTACAAAACGCAAAAAGCTCAAATTTTGAAAATTACTGTTTAAGAATTAAAAGGCTAGGGTTACTAATGTTTGACACAACACTGAATACACAACCCCATCCTCAAAGTAAGGCTTTTCTTTTTCCTACCATAAAAAAAGACAATGTGTCACACATATGGTCATATAGTTAAAAAGAGCATGCTGCATGTTAGACACAAAAATTCTACAAAGTGCTCCTAAAAAAAAAATGATTCCAGAGAGTATTTGATTTTTATAACTTAATTGCTAATAAAAAATATACTTTATATTCAAATTTGTGAATTGTTAAAACTTCTAAGGTGACACATTTTTCAGATTATCATCTACCAGTAATTTCCCAAGAAAGTTGCAAGCACCTTGGCAAACAAAACATTAAGGTCACTGCACTTACAACCAGATAAAAATAAAAACGAATTGGAAATAAAAATGTGATTTCTCTACTTGTACGTAAAACCACAAAAAAAGTTGTGAGGATCTGATTTGCAAGCTGCTTTCATAGAAAGCATTTAAATAGCTATAAGAACACTCACATAGATAGAATACTGTTAAAACAACAGGCACTCAAGGTACAAGGAAAAGACAACTTCAGATACTCCTAATGAATAGATAAAATAAGAATTGATGTAATGGCCAAAGCCGTAAAACTTATCATATGACGTACTGAAGATGTCTTTAAAATGAATGTTCAATTGAAATATAAAATACTGAAATTATAAAAATTGAAAATAAGAAAACAAGAAAACTAAGAGTATTTCATTGCTATCTGGACAGACACATATCCTCGGTATTTAAAGTAATTTTTGCAGTAAAATGTAAGTCATAATGGTCTCTAATTCCGAATAACCAACATGGTTAAAGTCAACAATAAAGTGAGAAGTTTCCTCTCCTTAAAACAAAGTATTGAGGCTGGTTAAAAGTTCTATTGCTTTCATTAACTCATTACCAACAACATCATGCAAAAACAGACTTCTTCAGCTCAAGCAGAGCTAACTGCTTTGATATCATTTGATTTCCACCAAACTCTTAAAATCCATCGCCCACACAACCATGATTTCCGTACAATATTAAGAAAAATAATTTCAAATACATATAATGGCTTACTTGCAATGAGTACTAGCCCATAGGAGTTAATTTTAAACGTCAATCAAGCTCAACACAGTGTGTATCTTTAAAAATTCCTAAGTGCCAATAAATGAAAACTTTGGAAAAGAGTACAGTATGAAGAACAACTGTAGACTTTTGTATTGAAAGTTATCAAACCCATATCACGATTGGCAAAAAATTTGCCAAACCAGTCTTGATACTGACCAATGAGGCCTGGGTTTAAGAAAACTGAAACACTAAATCCAGATATTTTTTCACACTTGATACATAAGCTTTTTCCACATATACCTTACATCTTGCTTATGCCTACAACCCTGTATACAATACAAAAAAATCTCATAAGTATATGAATATCCAACAACTCAACATGTTGTATACGAGATCGAAATCTGCTCTTACATAATAAAATTCAAAATCTGCTGTGATAAAAAAAAAAAACCTTGTTGAAATCTATTTTCTACTTTTAGGATTTATTAAACCTCAATTCATCTTGAAACAAATAAACTTGATATGAGGTCCATGAAAAATCCAAGTAAATTTAATTTTACAAAGGAACCAGGATCCAAGAGAACATAAAATTAATAAAAGGTCTAAGCTAACAGTAAGCGCTAGGTAGTGTAAGCAGTCTCCAGTACCAAACTACATTGAAAATCGACATGTAGACCTTCTATGCAGAGAGTGAAATTGTAAAAAATCTGGTACACCAATCAGCTAACACTATGCTTAGCTAACGAAGAAGAGTAATGCTTCAACATTACTTAGGGGGCAAGTAAAAGAACACAAGCAACCAAACTACTGCAGCAGAACAGAGAATACTCCATCCATTCTACTATAGAGTGGCAGACTTTTAGCACAAACATCACACACTACCATTATATCTGTAGTTTTTTGTTTGTTACACCAATCTAAAAAATTTTAAAATGGTAATTGCTGGAAGCTCAACACATACCTATACTTCCAAACATCATCATTTTTTATTTGTTTTTGTGTATAAAGTTCATCTTGCTATGCATGAAATGAAAGATAAGCTACTTAGTAGGTCTAGAACAAAAACGTCATTCGTCATTCCCTCTACCTGCGTTTTTTTCTGTGAGCTTTTGAACTCCTGTTAGGAGTGGAAAGAGGTTTCTCAGGGGATTTCACAGGTTCATCTTGTTTGATTAACTCTTCTTGAGGCTTAGGTACATCTATGACTTCAATTTTATCTACACAATGTCCTGAATCTTTCACAATTTCTTCCTCAACATTCTCTTTTCCTTTGGTCTTTGGAGGAGTTACAGTACTGAGATCACTTTTTTTCCCTTTCTTATTTTCCTTCAAACATGTCTGATCTATCTTTGATTCTTCCTCTTTGCATGCGGCATCAACAATTGCCTCAAGATCTTCAAACGAGAGTTTATCAACATCCATTTCAGAGGAGGGAACACTACTATTTGGCATTTCCCACCCTCTTTTAGGCTTGACTGGGTTCATGTCTATAGTTGGAAAAGAATTCCTCTTTTCCAAATCCTTCACACTTTTTTCAGATTTTTCTGAGAGACATGACAATGCTTGATCCACTTCATCTGACTTATCAACCTCATTACTAGTATTCCCCCAAGCTTTCTTTGAGTTTTTAGTTGAAAGAGCAGGGAAATTTTCTGCATTTTTTTGTAGCTCAGAACTACTTTTTAATTTCCACACGTTGGTATCAATACATTCAGGTGGGATTGGCTCAGATGTTTGTATTTTACTTTCATTTTCAGTACTCTTGGATTTAGTAGATTTTAACCCCTTCTTTCCATTCTTTGCGGAGACATCAATGGACATGCCATCTAAACTTTCCTTTGTGTAGGAACCTTCAACAGACAACTGGGCATCCCTCTTATTTTGATCAGTAGCTTTCTCACAATGGATATCTAAAGCAGCCTCCTCTAAATGTTTTTGAACAGCAGGAACAGATTCCACTGACTCACACTTATCACTAGCAATATTGTCAGATTCTTTGAGTTTATTGCCCCTCTTAGTCTTTGGGACACTAATATCCTTTGTGTCCGGGAGAACTACTGGTTCTTCAGACACAATGTCATCTTTCATACAAACTGAATTGATGGATACCTCAATATCCAAATTACTAACAACCTTAACATCGCCGCAACTTTCTAAATCATTTTTAGATGCAAGCTCTGCTTCCAAAATCTGCTGAGCTCGTAACGCTCTTCTGGCACTTTTTGAAAGTTTTTGAGTTTGTGGGATTGCTTTAGCGATGGAAATTTCCTCTTTATCATCTTTGTTTGAGATGACAAATTCAATATCTGATTTTACTTCAGATAATTGTTCATCCAATGGAGAAGTTGAATCTGATTGCAAGCAAGCAAATCCTTTCTCCAACTCACAATTTGTAACAGTATCCTTTAGGCTAAAATCAGTATCTGCCTCTTGAGCAAACACAATTTCAGTCTCAACATTTGTTGAAATAGAATTATCTGGTTCTAATTTGGCTTCAAAATTTTCAGCATTTGGAACATTTTCACACTGTTTCACAACATCTTTTGATAACATTGTTGTCCTTTTCTTGTTCTTTTTAGTGAGGACAGAGGAGGATTCATCCAGTTCTTCTTTCTCCGGAGTAATGGAGGACCTCTTTGCATTTCTATCATTAAGTACCTCTTTTTCAGGAGTAATGCAAGACCTCTTTAGATTTTTTTCACTTACTTCTTCTTTCTGAGGAGAAACAGATTTTCTAGATGTTTTTGTTGCAGGAGCAACACTATCATCTACTATAATTTCCTGAGTGCTACAACTTTTTCTCCCTTTTTTACCTGAAATCCCTTGCAAAGCTCCAGAGCTGTTTACAATATCTGTTTCCTTTTTGGTAGTATTAGTATCTACCGACATTACATCATCAACCTGAATACAATTCAAATCTTGAATATTTGCATAATTTGGACATGAATCTAGTTCTTTCACTGCAGCAGCATTCTTTTTACTCTTTTTACGAGATATTGATGGATCATTCACCTCAGAACCTTTTCCATTCTCATATTTCATTGCCCCCTCAGCCTTAACTTTACTGGCTTCCTTACTACATGGTGTTTCTCTCTCAGGTGTAGCCTTTTTCTTACCTACACTAGCATCATCGCTACCTCTCCTACCACAACGCTCCTTTTCAGATACAATTTTATCCTTTCTAGCAATACCACCAGGGGCACCTTTCTTAACAAACTCATCTGATGCTTTTGGACTGCAGGCCGTGCTGGTCTTCTCTGCAAACGGAGGAGTGGAGCACTCAGAGACGTGCTGGGCCAGCTGCGTAGACTGCCTCTGCATTGGTGCTGCAGCAATTGTGGTGACGAGCAGCCGATGAGGTGCTGAGTCTGGGGCGGGGTCGTGGGGGACGGGGATCAGTGGCGCAGAGGCAGGGATCGCAATGGCCTCCCAGTGGTGTGCAGCCAGCTGGGGCTGGTCTGAGACTTGGTCTGAGAGGGGGATTGGGATGGGAACCGCGAGGTCCACGTCTGACTCCTCGCAGCCCGAGCCCGACCTCGACCTCATCGTGATCTCAGCCCCACCGGGGTTCACCACACGTCGGACCGGGCAAGTGCCCCTTCCCTCCCCCACCCCATCTCCACCTCCACCTTCTCCTCCTCCTCCTACAAGACCACAGTATCTTCTTTTCCCTACGAAAGAAAAAAAGAAAAGAAAATAAGCCAGAGTACATGGGTTGCTTAAGAACCCTATTTTATCTCTGCGGCTCAAGAAACACTGGGCATTGCTGTCCATACATTCAAATAAACAGTCTAGCAAGGGTAAGGTCTTGCACCATTGGGCACAGTAAATTCACATTAACATTTGAAAATTATAAACACAATACACATCTTGGTGCAGATTAAGCTCAAGCAAAGAAATTAGTGCGAATTATCAGTCTCTCTTGATGTGATTTCAAAGCCAAAACACCAAAACTGTGCATTACAAACGTCCAAAACAATTCTTGAGATGGTGTTTGGCAAAAATGTTTCCAAAAGAGTAAAATTATATTTTTGATAGGAAAAGTGAGATAGAGAGAAAGATAGAGTGAGAAAGAGATAGAAAGAAGAGCAATAATACAAATTTTGGAAGATAATGGCAAGAAATGACTTTCATACAGAAGAACCACCATGCAGACTGTTTGGGCTGTACACCAAATTTGCAATAACTTTAATTGATTCAATAAACATGCATCTATCTCTGCTGCTTGGAGGAAACTAGTATGCCCACAAGCTACAGAGTATTTCTGGTTATCTTTGACTTTGAGCCACTTACTCCAGCTTATTTTTCACTCTTTTCTTCTCTCAAGGAAATTGAATTATTAACATGTCACCATATTGAAAACCATCACCGTAAATAAACACCATGGCATCGACTAGCATGCATGAGAAAAAAATCTGGTCAACAAGGAAAGTACAACACAAACCTTGATCTAAGTGGAAGTCATTATCTAATTTAATTCCTCAATCCATCACCATTCATCAACCTTAGACAGGACACTAAGTAGGTATGTGAGAAATAAGAATGCGCAAATATGAGATAGCTTAAGTAGCATTTTCTAAAATTAAGGATGAAAGCTTGTTAGTACTATAATTAATCAATAAATAGAATGATAGCGGTCCATTTCCATAAATATGTATAAAATAGATGGTACAGTATTAAAACAGTTTAACAAACTGTAATTTCTTTTCTATCGGTCACTGCCACTTGGTTGTAGAGAGGACAATAAATTTAAATTCAACAAAACCAAAAGTATCTTCTATCAGATATAAAATTGCAAACGGAAATTATTACCATTGAGTGGATCATGAACTTGCTTGATAGGAAAAGAGGGAGAGAGAGGAAGCAAAACAATGAGGATAGATTTCTAAAAGAAAAACTAGTGAAAACTGAACTTATAAGCCACACGTTGGACTAATATTTAAGTGAGTTTCAAGTTTCTACCGTGTCTACCACGACAACCTCTCAGTGCTCTTCCTCATGATCGTACTAATTTTGGGACTAACACAAAAAAACTATGTCTTGGAAAGTCCAATAAAAGGTCATAATAATCATAATTGTTTTTTTAAAGTAAGACTAGGGGAGCACTAAGGGATGCAGCACAACACCTGGGGTGGCACTTCTTACGAGCAGTAACTAATACAATCTTTCCAGGAAAACATTTGCATGGTGGGATGTAAGAGTAACTTAACATTATACCAAGTATCACAGTTTGTGTTGGTGTACAAAGAACAGAAATGGCTACATTTCTGAAAGTTCCCTTTAAATTGGATACCCCATAGGGCATTTTTAACATATTTTTGTGACACAGGGAAATGCCAGAGTAAAAAGGTAAAGTCTCAAGAAACAATTCCATTACCATTTGGTATTTACAATGTTTCTGACAGTATGTACTCAAGCTTTTACTTTGATATTTTGTAATGCTATAAAAGTCACATTATTTTTGGAGCAGTCATGCTTCATATACAATCCCTCAACTTTAAGAAGAAAAAAATCTCATTGAAGGCAACAGAAAAGATGTGAGGGTAACCATAGATACAAATTCATTTTTATGTACAATATTATACCAGTATCTAAAATGATATGAAACCAGTGTTGAAAGTATGTGGTAACTATAATGACTACTTCTTATGAGATGAGATATGAAATAAGCAATGCTTTCCTGGACATGTATGTCTAGTTGCACACATTATTAATTTCTAAAATAGAGTTTAATTCATTCTTTTCACACAGAAGCCCAAAAGTGACTTACCTTTTTCTCGTGAAGGTGCGCCTGGACTCTCAAGCATGGCATCGGCTAAATCTTCCCGCAACCTTGAATCTCCATGGCTTCCCCAATGTTCAGATTCACCAGAATCAGCACCATATACTTCCAGCAGATGTGGTGACTGCTCTAGACTACCTATATGAACAAGGGAAAAGGGACAATAACATGAAGACAACCATATGGAAGATAAAAGCCTTAAAAATAACTTGCAAGTGCATTTAATAATTTAAAATTACAGAGAACAAGATTTGGTAAGCATATAATTAGGAAGCAAACTTACTGCCAGATCCAGATTCTATCAAGACAGGAACAACAGGTCTACCTCCTGAGGGCATATTCACAGGGTTTGAACGCGCTGGCCGGGATACAGGAATAGTTCCAACTTCAACAGCTTCAACATCCTGCATTGATACATTCGGCCTGCAACATATTTATCTTAAGTCTGGGCCAAAAAATAAAATTAAGTTTTTAGCTGAAGTGACTGGGCTTAAAGAAATCAATTACCCAAATGTAGTAGTTGGAAGAAGTGTTTTGAAAGTGATCTGTGGTCCCATCCACAGGCGCCTGTGTGGGCCAGCATGTGTAACAATCTCCACCTAGATTAATGATAAAAATGAAAAGAAGTTGTACATATTACATTTTCACAGGGAGATTTTGAAAGTGAAAATGATTTTGTCCTTCAACTTACTTGAGAAAGCCAACGTTCTTCTACTTGACCATTACTTTCTGACTCACAGGAAGGCATGCGCAGTTCAGGGCCACACAAAAGAATGTTAGAAGATGGTAGAGGAGGAAGAACTTCTGAGGAATGAGATGACCTTTGAAGAGGCCATTGGGCCTTAGCCTCCACATCCAACTCAATTTTTGTGTCATCACAGATTTTCTCCCTTGGATCAGCTAAAGCAAAGTAAAAAGTTCAGACATGGTATTATTCAACAGTCTACAACAAGCACTAGTGAGAATAATTAATGATAGCAATCAATATAAACTTACATGTAACTGCTTTAGGGTCTAGGTCATACTGAACAAGATTTCCATGATGTGCCATGACAAAGAGGGACTCAACAGGACGTCTTTGCACTCGAGTAGAGTCTCTGGGACCATCCCGTGGATGCGCTGTTTGGGAATCCAACAGCCATGCTCGGGGTAAAGCAAACGTGGCACAGACCTTGAGAGATAAATCAAGAGTTCCACCAGGTGCTAAAGGAGGGTGAGGGGATTGGCGGAGTTGAGCTAAGGGAGATTGCACAAAGGGATGAGGATATGGGGGCAGACGAGGATTCGCATGTGGTCCTGAAATGTACAAAAATAAATTAAAATGAGCCCATCTTCATTACACTGTCAAATAATAAGATATTTAGCAAACCAGAAAACAAAAATACAACTTGATCAAAAATGCACACCTGCAGGAAGACAAGGTGGAGTTTCTGGACTTGGTACTGGGCTACTTCTGCCATCAGCACTAAGACCTGCACTTCGATGGAAGCGGCTCAATCGATTCACAACAAGAGGGGAGCCATGAGTTCGGAAGCCCACTGGCCCTCCATAGGGAGTTAAAGGAAAGACATGAGTTGTACCACGCATTGTGCTCACAGCCACCCAACGGGAATCACAGGAAAAGGCAACATTTTGAACCTGCAAGAATACCAAAATTTTAATTTAAGTGCTAATGGACCACAGTAGATAATTTAAGCGCATCCTGTCTTTAAGCTGTTGCGATACCTTTGCTGTTGTGTCGCCCCTATGCAGAACATATAAGTGATGGACAGCAGACAGAGATGAGCCTCCAGGATGAGGCTGAAGTCGGAAAACATGAAAATCATGCCCACGCTTGTCTGCTGTCAACAGCAATGTGCCACTGGGATCGAATTCTAAGGCCACAATAGCTTCATTGTGAGCTATGAAGTGAGCAATGACTCCTTCAGCACTTATTGAGTTTCCAGAATGAACATCATCAGCACTATTGAAGCGATTGGAAGAAGCCTATTTAAAAAAAAGAAAAATTTAGGAACATCTGAAAAAAAAAACAACAAAAGATGGTGCCCACATAATGAATAGCACTGAAAGTAAATTTTCTCACCTCTAAGTCCAAAACGGTTACAACACCTGGTGAGCTATGGTCCGTTCCATTCATTGTTGGGGGAGAGCTTCCCAGAATACCCACTTGAGCTGCAGAGTGACTTCGTGGACCAGTTAAACTGCTGGCTACTGATTCACTCAGTCCACGTAACCCCCTCCCCAATGTTTGGGCTGCATGCAACACTGTAGCAGTGTATGACTGAGCTCCTCCACCTAAAAATGAGACATTAAACATTATTCTCTGAAAATTTTGGTTTTCAATAGAACATTGATTAATAAATCTTACCTCCAACACCCCCAGAGCTCCTTTTCCAAGCAACCAGTTTCTTTTCAGCAAAGGCGAGCCAGCGCGAGCCGATTGCAACTGGATTTGAATTAGGACCGGGACTAAGATAGCAAGAGGTAATGCTAAGACGATCTTCGAGAGTACATGCATCAAACACAGCGATACGCTCTGGAAATGTGACTATGACAGATCGTCGGTTTGCATGCACATCACACACAGGATTTTTAAATTTGATACTTTTAACCTGAAAATGAAGAATATCTTTGATAAGCACAATTACAAGTACACAGAAAGGTATGTGTAAGGGAGTAACTGGCAAAGCACATACCTGATCACCAGTTTTCAAAGAGATAAAACTAACAGAGCAGAAAGGGGGCCCTGGGCCAGCGCTATCACATATGGCTACTAATGGTCTTTTCATAACATATGAATCAGAACTACTTGCTACATTTGATGTTGGGCTAGGCAAAATGCGAAGGGTGCGCACACTGCCTTGACTCCAAGATAGAACCTCAGTTGCTTCCCCATTAGCAGGGATTGCCCATACCTGAAACCGACACTTGCAGAATCAGATCTATGTGATAAGATAATACTTCTTGACAAGTCTTCATTTCCAACTTACCTGCACTCCAGTATTGTAACCTAAAATAAGAATAAGAGGCAGCACTGTGTCAGAAGTACTGTCTGGGAAGAAGGCTGGGTCATTGATGTCAGCTGTCTCAAAACGGGCCCATGTTATTGTTTCTTTACAATCCCCAGGCAGTGTACTGGTGTAAGCCTGGAATACATATACATTGTAGTAATTACTTTTGTTTCGTTAAAAGAACTGCAGCAAACATAATAACATGCCAAGCATTGAAATATTGTCGGTTAGTGTCATGTGATCACAGGACCACATACTTTACCTGTGGAACAACATCATTAATAAATCCAGTGACACTGTCAATGATGGAAGGATCCGTTACTGTTTGAGGAGCAACTATTTGACCTCCTCCACTCCCACAGACAGACCCCCCACCATGGCGTGCCATGCGACCGCCTGATCGTCTTGGGGAGTCAGCTGACATCTTCCTACAAAAATAATAATAAATATGCCATTAAGACAAAAGGGACAAAATAGAAAAACTTAATGAAATACTATACACCAAAAAAGTTCAAGTCTTTACAACAATTTAAAAAAATGTTATTAAAAGGCCTTGTAGGGAAATATGCAATTACATCCGTTCAAGGAAATTATTATGTATGTAGTTTTTGGAAGGAGATTCAAAAAGTTTGGAAAGTAAAGTTTTTAATTTGGCAGCAGGGGAAACCAAGATGATATAGAAAGACCACAAGAAGTAAAAACAGTTCCCTGGAGATAAGCAACCTATTACACCACTGTCATATCAAACAAAGAAAACTATTTGTTGACAGATTGAATTAAATGGGCTGGCTTCTAGAACCCATAACTTACTGATAATTTTTCACAAACAAGAGAAAATCAAGAAAATATAGCTCTGATTCGCGAAAAAACTGTAAATATACAAAAGTACACTACATATGAAGTCACTTTCAAATGTATCCCATCACACAAGCATAAGCATCTTTGTCACAACAAAAGAAGCAAACTTTCAACATCAGGTGATATCCTCAATGCTGTCAATATGATTGGTAGGAACTCACTGGGAGTTGTATTGCAAAAATGATAGTTTTATAGTAGTGACACAATCAGCTGTGTATGTTATGTTTAGTCTAGCCATGAAAAAAAAATAATAATAGAGGGTCCGATCTAGCCTTGAACTATTTCAAACTTCCTGTCAAAGAGAATGGGCGTAGTACAGAACATAGATGATCTGACTCTAGAAACAAGGTCAAAACTAGTCAAAGATGAGACCACTGAAGTTGAACTTACGATTTTGTAGGAGGATTGTGTGAATTTCATAGATGACACTGGTCTGTCCTTTCTTCTGCAAATGCTACTGCGTCATTCAACTGACAGCTGTTTTTGTTGTTATGAGAAATTTCAGCGCAAGAACTCTTCTTGTATTTGCGTCGGATGTTTCTAGAGAGTTCTTCAGAAAGGCAACTAATCGATCAAAAATGAGGAATAAGGTATAGAAAAACAAAACAAATGTTCAGACATAAACCTTTCGAGAATTGTCTACGTCTTCTCGATGACTTGGTTGTAAAATTGTATACTCAAGAGGAAAGTAAATTTTTCCTATCCCATCAGCTTTTATCATACGAGTGGCTTCAGAAATCAGATGAGTCAGGTGATCAATAGTTACTGTCAGCGACTTTTGGAATGAGGGGCCTAGACATTTGAATGTGATAAGAAAATGCAAATCTTCACAAATAAGGAAAAAATAAACGAGATTTGAGTCCACGGGTGCTCACACGAAATACTTTCTCATGATGCAAACAAGAACTACAGCGCTCCTTGTGGGTAAAATTGTAAGCTGTGAACTTACAGAAAAAAAACAAGGCAAAGCTGACTTTGGCGGCTAGGAGGACTTCAATTAAACGTGTTTAGAAGACAATCTAGATTTGGAGTGGTGATAGCACATTTTGTTATCTTATTCACGTATTCAAATTATAAACATGGATTTGGAAGAACAAAATACGTATGAAAACCCCGTTAAAATATTTATTCGTGACATCCATAAATTGAAGAGGAATGAAAATGATACAAATTATTATCACTTTTATGACAAACTAATTAGGAAAGTGGACATATTAGGAGTTGTGACTGAAGTGAGAAAGATGAATGATTTTTATTTGTACAGAGGTAAAACACAACTTAAGTTATGGTGCATGGAGGTGCTACAATTAGTGTTCGAAGTCTAACCTTTGATTTGTGTTTACAGTTGATGACTGCACTGGGGAAATTTTGTGTAGGTATAATCACTTCTCTGAGAAAAATTTACAAGAAGTACAAGAAACAGAGCAGCTGGAAGAGCTTGTCGCTGCTAAGAATTTTCAGCAAGCAACAGAATCTGGTGCTGTATGTATTCATGATGTACATAAAATATTCTGGTTCAACTGGTGCTTCTTATGAAAAAAGTAATGTGACAACTGTTTTCAGGCAATGGAATCTATTTTAGGGGTAATTTTTAAGAAAAGTAAACTCCAAACAAGCCCACTTGAACAAGGTGAATGTGCACATGTTCAAGGATTCATCAGCGACTTTTTTGGCACTCGAGAAATATGGGCATTTTCATTATGTATCCTTAAAATATGGTTTTTAAAGTCAATGTCTATAGACCTTTTCACCCACAATTTGGCAACAATGCAAATCTCTATTGTAAAATTGTACCTGGGGAAATTTTCAAAAAGCAAAAACACTTGTTCCTGGTAAATTTTCCAAGGAATCCAGCGGTGATGAATAATTTTGTTGATAGACACTCATAATACGGTTTATCCTAAGTATAAAATTCCACTTGCGGCGTTGCAACATTGTAGGCATAAAGGTATATGGAATTGTTAAAAATTTGCGATATATGTTTTTTTTAAATTCCTTAACTGTCTCTTAGATAAGGTGCTTTCTTCAGCTCATGAGGTGGATAGAGTATTTGAGTTATCAGCACTTTATTCCAACGTCTACTCAAGATTGGATGGGGTATAATATTTTTTCCTACTCGACATTATCTTATAAACCGTAGCAGGGCAGGTGACAGAGAATAGTCACACTCCCTGTTCACATTTTGGCCAGTATGTACCTATAATATTTCAATAAATTAACATTTTTTGTCATAATGCTTTATTAAACTTCAATTAAAATATGGTCCCTTTGATACAAGTCATGATTTTCAGCAAGGCACACTTTCTTCATGGATTCTTTCTCAGGTTCGCTAAGTATGTATTGCACTCTATTAACACATCTTTCAAATCTGGATATTTTGCTAACTCCAAAGCTCGTTCAAGCCCAGCCCATTCAAAGGCTTGGTGTTCTCTAGACAGTTTTATTTCAGTGTTCACGTCAATTAGCTCTGCGAGCCAATAAATAACAACTTTTGGTTTGCCTTTCACTGGGTACTGATAGAACAATGAAACATTAATTCTCATGTAATCTAGTTGAATTAACTTCAATTCAAACTAACATTTTACTTACGTTCAACTCCTTCTTGTAGTCCATTAACTTAAAATCACTTTCACGTAATCCTGCCTCCTCTTCTGTTTCTCGTAGAGCTGTTTGCATGTCATTTTCTCCAGGATCGACATGTCCTGTGTTCCATATGCAAATAATGTCAATAATTACAAATAAGAGCATGATGTAGTCAATGCACATACACTTAAATGTGACTGCAATCGAGACTGCTCTAGGGGGGTTACCCTTGTCTCAGGTTCAGGAGGTTACCTTTGGGAGGAGTCCAGTGATGTTCTCCGTAAGACGTTTGCATCATCAAGTATTGTATATCATTAGAAAGACGACGAAAAATTATAAGTCCAGCTGCACGGATAGGCATTTTAACATACACAAACAAGTACAATGGCTGTTAACAAAAAAAATATAATATCACGTAAAACTCTGAACGAGTGTCACTTGTGTTGTTGTGTACGTAAATATTCTCATCAAACCAAACTCGTGATGCACTAGCAGCCGACAATTCCTAACCTCTGTTATTTGACATGTAAACAAAGAAAATTTCTTTGGTTCTCATAACTCTGTTCATAGTTTGTAAGAGTACAACTATGAAGTCGAAAGGAAAACATAAAGATTCAAACTTAAGTGCCTACAAAAAGAAATTGGAAAACGTGAGAGCCTTTGGTTTGGAATCAAATTTATCAGAAACAGAAATATGTTCCGTTATGGACGAGTATATGAAGTCCTTTATGATGAAAAACAGTTTGATGACTGAGGGCACTGCTCGAACCTCTCGGTTGCTACCTCGTGCTAGAAACTCAATGCCGTATTTAAAGAATTTTTTAATATTTTTGGCTAGTTTCCTATTCTCTGTTTTGATCATGTATATTGTCCTGCAACATAAACCAACCCAGTATTTTATTCAAAGCAAGTTACAAGATTTTATCTATCCTGGAATGAAGGTCTTGAGGAAATTATCATTACCTATAATATCACTGTTTCCCTCATTGACTAGTGAGTATTAAAATCCTTAGGCGGAAGATGGCATTGATAGCATTATTTCACCCTTGTTATTTTTGCAGATTTTTACGATGAAAGTTGTCTTGTGGTAAACCCTTTTTTCCGAGTGCCTGACATGCCTTGTCCCTGTGAAGATGTGAAAGCTATATTAAATTTAACTGGTGAAGATATCAAGAGAGAGCAGTATCACTCTGGTGTTCCATTCATGGTAAAGGTAGGAAAATAATACGTTCAGCAAGATGGTGTTGTAATTGACGTTTTTGAAAGACGCCTTGACCATAAACAGTAAGGTTTGTCTTTGCCAGGTAGATAAAGAGGAAATATCCTTTGAAAACCTGAAAGTTTTGTATGGAAACCACAATACTGTTTTTGACAGAGATGCGTCTTATCTTATTATCTCATCACCGTCGAATCAAGGTGTGAAAAGCACACCTGCATCCTTATTCACATTAGAATGGGACACAAATGACAAGACGTGGAGTTCCACTCATGTTCAGTGGTGAGTTTCAAAGATGTTACTTTAAAAAGTTACATTAGAATATGCCTTAGTAATGAAACTGTTACCAAGATTTTCTGTTTTTAGGAGATGCAATCGAATGGAACCAACACGCCTACTCAGGTCACATTTTGGTGTGCCTGAAAAAGAACCAAGCTATGCTGCTGGAGTCACAATAGAAAAACTAGTCATGATGGATGGACCCAGGGCTCCATCTTATCACTTGGTAGACAAATATCTTAATATTTCAGTCATTTTGTATTTTATCTCTTCATTCATAATTTATGAAGTATTCTTTACATTCTAGCCAACCACAGATGGCACTACAGTTTTCATTCAGCAGTCAAGTGGGTCTCGTGTGATTGTTTTGAATCCCGCAAATGAATGCAAAGAGAAATGCTCTACAGTGTCTGTTGAACTGCCACCAGGGCATATCTGTAAGTTCTAGTGCACTCTTCCATAGAAAAGGGTGTGCCGTTCAAAGCGGTATATGTACTTTTTTAAATCCTTTCTGTTAAAAGAAATCTGTTTTGCTGCCTTCAGTGTGGTTCAGCTGGTGGTACTGGCGAGCCAGCAGTCTGCCGTCGCCCGCCACAAGCTCCGTAAGTGTGTCCTACGTAGGCTCGTACCTCTGACCCTGACGTCATCAGACCCAGAGAATGGACCTTTATTCTCTTGCAGTAGGTAAGGATCTCAATTTCACTCAACTCAGACGCGCAGCGCGAACCGCGAACCGCGCGTCGACCTGGGTTCGTTGGGTTGCCTACCCACCAGGTTCACTTGTCGAGTCCCGTGCGTTGGGTTGCCTACCCCCACGGCGCGTCGACCTGTTCGAGGTGGCTCTCGCGTGGCGCCACTTTTTTGTGACAAGGGAAAACTATCTTTTAGGGAAATCATTTTTGTAAATAATGGAATTGTTTCTCCGGGACGCCAATCTGCCCGTTTGCTGAGACTGCGCAAAATCAAGACTGAGCGTTTTTAGTTTGTACGATGTGACGAAAGTTGTGAGCTTCGTCGATCCGGCCTCGGTTTGCTTTTGCAACGTGTGCTACCAATATCTCGATGTGGTGTGATAAGCGAATAAAAGCGATCTACGACGATATTGTGTGTATTCATCATATCTACTATTCATTTTTATTTTTCCGAGAGTTTTGCGAGTTTTGCGAGAGCTGAGAACTGGCCTGCCGACCGCGCTGGCCCCAGTTTACGAGTGCGGCTGCTCCTGGTGGAACTCGCCGCGATCAGAAGCATCTTCGATTAGGACACGAAGTACGGACAAGCTGCCTCATATGTCCATGTGTGCTCTAGTCCCCCCCCCTCCTCTTTCTCCTTTTTTTCCTCGCAACACGTACGCACGTCGCCAACCCCACTGTCTTATGCGCATCTCTGTCGGTCTCCAAACCTATTGAATGACGCTTGCAAGTGAGGTGAACTCAGCTCTGCGGCCTTTCTGCTCGGCCGCGCACCGCGGCGCCCCTTTTGCGACCGGAGTGCGCGGTGCGGTACACAACTACATAACCCGCGTCACGCAGCAGCTCTGTGTGTAGCCCCCCCCCCCCACTTCGTACCTATACCTGTTTCGTCAGCTCTTCGTCGTCGCCGTTGTCGGCGGCTTCTTCTTCTTCTAAACAAACCATTAGAGTGCGGGGAGGGACAGTCGTCGAGAGCTCGATTGCATTGTAGCGTTCGGTACGATACGATATACGCGGCGCCGCCAGGGAAGCACCGTCTGACTGAATCAACCTCTCTGAGTGTCGCGACGATTGTAGTTACCGCAGTTGTACAGTTCTACCCCAATGACCTCTTTCACCCCTTGCAAGTCAGAGTTATGCGAAACCCACCCGACTAAAGCAGCAACACCCTTTTCATTTATTTTTTATTACTTTCACCACAGCTTTTTTTTTCGCTATTGTTCTTTCTCTCATTCCACCACACTCTCTAGGAACAACAACGGCCGCGACAAGGTTGTAACCTGCCGCTGCTGCGGGGATGGCTTCCGGTGACGTTGACCAGCGGTGGAATGCCGTTGCAGCATCTCATCGGCCACCGGTGAGCCGTCTCGCGCTGGACCAGAGGCCGACAGGCCTAAGGGCAGGCCCGCGCGCTTCCAGTACGTCCTAATAATGTCCGATGACTGACATTCGTGTGTCGTCGACTCAATTCCAAAACAGCATACTAATTAATACATGGTTAAAGCGAAGAAAAACAAAGTAGACAGCCACAAAAACTTGCACGTAAAAGAGTGTGTGTCAGAAATAAAAAGTTGTCTTCGATTTACCATGTAATTGGCCGAACGGAAGCGAGGCGGTCTCTTACGTTTCCTAAATCGACCGGCCTTGACCATAAAAAAAGAGGGGCTCCCGGATAGGGAATATCGCCGCCGGACCCGGGCTATTCGCACGCCTCGCCTGCTCCGCCGCGATCGGTTGCGCGAGCGGGGGCCGCACGGTGGCGTTGGGCACCGCGGCCACCACCGGCGCGCAGTTGGACGCTGCCCGCACCGGCCCGGCCGACGCCAGCCCTATAAGCCACTATTTCTCCTCCCCGCCCCGCGCCGCCACCCATTCCAATCACAAGCTTTTAGAAAGGCAGGCCATGTTGGCACAGTCACCGCCGCCGCCGCCGCCGCCCCCCGCGTTTGTGGCTTGTATGGGGACATTCTGATAGCGGCACGCTCGTATAGCAGGGCACACACGACAGGATCACTCACCCCGCTGGCCATCGACGACGATGCTCCGACAGAGCGCCGCGCTGACCGTTTTTCCGCGGATTTATGCATATTAGGCCCCGCGGCTCGTCCCCTGCTCGCGGCGTGCCGCGTTGTGTAACGGGTTGTCTCGGCCCATCTGCCCGCGGAGCGCCCTCATCGCCGAGGTGAGGTGCGGGTCGCGGCCGTTCGCCTACGGGGCCGTTCAGAAACCACGTGGACTTTAGAGGGGGAGCCAAAAATATCATGGGGTCTCAAAAAGGATCGGGACGATCACTGGCGTCAAAGCGGCCCACGATAATCCTGTACCACGGGGTACAAAGTATCGTCCATGGGGTCTCCAATAGAGTCTCCATTGGAGTCCACTAGTGACCCATGATATTTGTACCCCGGGAGGGGGGGGGGGGGTACAGATTATCATGGACCCTTCTATATGCCAGTGACCGTCCCGATCATTTTGGAACCCCATAATATTTGGATCCCCCTCTAAATAAGCCCACGTGGTTTCTAAACGACCCCGATGGGCGCGGCGCGTGGCGAAGCAGGCGAAGCTTGGTGTCTCCATCGTCACGCAGCGCCGCGGTGGGTTTGGAGCGGTTCGGATCCCCGGCGGCGGCGGCAGCAGCAGCACCCTGGAGCAAGCGCGGGGTCCTATGGAGGGGTCCTGGAGGGGTCCTGGAGGGGTCCACGAGGGTCCACGAGGGATCCCGCGCAACGGGACCTGACGACACGCGACAGCAGTCCAGTAATTTGTAGAGGCCTCATAGTCGTCGGTTTGGTGGGCTGGGCTGGACCGGGTAGGACGCGAGAGGCACGGCGGCGCAGGGCAGGACCTCAAAAAAGGTGGAAAAAATAAAAAAAGCATAAGCAAGGAAAAATCAATAAAAAAATCGTTTACGAAAATCAGGAAAAAATAGAGAAAGAAAAAAACCAAAAAACCCCAGAAAGATCGGCGTTCACTCGAATTTATAGTGCAGTACCCTTCGAGTAATCCTGGTGCTGCCGCTGTCTGCCAAAGTTCCCCTCAAAGTCCGGCTGGTCATTGCGGGGGAGTCCAGCCATGTGATTTTTCACAAATTGTTCGACCTCTCGTTATTACTCTTTGGAAAACTCCTTGCTCGGATTATCGTCGCCCTTTTTGTATAAAATTACTTTCAACGACCAAATCCTCCGGGGAATAACACTCCTCAACAGTATGCGTGGTTGTGTGATTGATCTCAAAGGTGGCCGGTTGCGCGTAGTGGACGCGCTCGCCCCGTGCCCATCTTGCTTGGGGGCGGGGCGGGGTGCCCCAGGCGCGCGCGGTGCGGCGGTTGTTGCGCGAGCGAGTCGCTACGCTCATGCCGCATGTGCGACACGCGTACGTGCAAAATATAATTGTCGGCGAACGTCCGCGGCTTCGTCGTCCACCTAGGCAGAGCGCAGATCGCCGGGCTTGCACGCCCCGCCACGCCCCGCCACGCCCCGCCACGCCCCGCCACGCCCCAGCAGCGGCGGCGGCCAGTCGGTAGTTACGCATCTAACGGAACCTATCACACAGGTTCATCTCGTCTCGCTGCCGGCCTGCCCCGCCTGCCCATCCCATCCCATACCGCTGCTGGACCAACACACACACACACATGCCTCAGCGGCGACGGTCATCATCGGCGTCATCGCCATCGCCGCTTGTCACCACCAACAACCACATCACATCACCATCACCATCACCAACGGCACCATTACCACTACCATTGTAACTTTTTAGTAACTCATTAATTTTTGCGTCGGGGTGCTCTTGCACTCTCTGAACTGTCACTATATTTTACCTTGAAGAATATTTTCGTAAACTCGGAATAATTTACACAACTTTTCGCAATTTTTTGATTTGCAAAGCAGAAATTGTACATTTAAAGTCAATTCTCTAAAACTCATAATTTTTCCATTTAAATTTAAAATACAGCAATTTTAGGTTCCAATTTTACGATATGAGTTCGTGCATCATGACGCAGTGCACTGCATGTTGCTCAACTTTTCGACAAACCTTTTTTGCGAAGAAAAAGATATGTCAGAAGTGGGATTTGAACCCACGCCCTCAGATGAGGACCAGAACACTCGCTACTCTCCATAGGAGAGCAAGGCGGGCAGCCTTGAGTCTGGCGCCTTAGACCGCTCGGCCATCCTGACATGGTGAGGGGAGACCGCTGTCGGCGCGCGACCCGCACACTGCCGGCTCCCTACGGCTCTCCCCCCTCCCCTCCCCACCCCTCCGGTCCCTTTGTCCTTCGGGGCCGCGAGGCCGGGGTCGCCCAGCGAGTAAAGAAAGCATGAGAAGAAAGGCTCTGTGCGATCGCAATGCCGCGCTTATCTGCCTTCCCGCTCGCGCCGGCTCGGTCCGTCCGTCTGCCGCCGTCTGCCCGTCCATCTAATCGGCCACCGCACATGGGATGGAAACTTGGTAACATGACATTGGAGCAAGTTTCGGTGTCTTTAACTTTTGCAGTAATATTGTGCCAGGCAGGTGGCTGATTCGCGCCGCGCACTTTCGTAGTTATACTGTACCGCATGCACGGGTGCGGGCGGGCTTGCCCATCGTCGCTGCCCACGGCTCCTTATGGCCCCGTGCGAGTAGGCAACCCGCCCGCACGCGTGCATGCGGTACAGTACAACTACGAAAGTGCGCGGCGTGAGTCAGCTACCAGGTATTGACGTTTTTATTTTTCGGTTATTTCTGTTTTTCTCAAACGATATAATATAATTAAAAACAATGACAAAACGTGCAAAAAGTTTCAACGTGGCCGCGGCGGGGTCAGGCCAGCTGGCCGCGCGCGGGTTCAAAAGTCCCGCTCTCTCTCTCTCTCTGTCCCTCTCGCCTGGGCGGATTAGCATTGCGTCGAGCGCAATCAGTTAGCTTTATTGGGTCCTTTCGTCTCGCTCCGCCTGACCAGAGCGCCAGTGTGGCGTGAAGCCAGTTACAGTTCTCTGGCGGCCGGGGCCTCTGTCACTGACCGGCGGCCGCGTCAGAGATGTCCCTCCCGAGGTCCAGCGCGGAGGAGCAGGGATGCTGCCGCGGAAGCGACCGCCTCTCCAATGGAATGCCACTCTGCTATGGAACAGCTCTGGATCTTTTTATTTTTTCTCTCATATATATATATCTCTCTCTCCCTCCCCTTTTCCGCTGTTCCGTACCTCTCTTATAGTTGTCATTCTCTCTCTCTCCCGCTCTCTGCTGCACAAGATCGAATGGAGACAACATTCCATATGATTTTTGATCAATGACAAAACTAACAAAAACCGCAGACTGTGCGTATGGTTTATGTAGTAGTTACACGCATATTTTTTTTTCGTAATACCACGAGAGCAACTAGAGAACCTTGGTGCACTCTTGACCCTGCTGGTATTCGAACCTTCGGCAATCTAGTCACGTCGTTCGGCTGATGCCGGGCCGGCCGGTAGTGGTCAGCCGATAGGGTCAAAAGTTCGACCGCACAGGTGCCGCCGGTCCGATGCGTATTAATTCACGGCTTCGTTAGTTTATTGGCTCCTCTGACCCAAATTATCAATTAACATCCATTAGCGATTTGCTGACCACTAGGCCAGGGGGCCGGCCCGGCCGCGGCCGTGACCTTGAGGTCAGAATGACCGCGTCTATAGGGTGCGACAGGCAAAGAACGACCAGCACCATCATACCTCGTACAGGCAGTGTAGAAATTAGTCCCCAGAAAGAGAGCAGAACACGTGGAGAACACATATGCTGGTCGGGCGCCAGAGAGCAAAACTTTTGACGTACACTCAACCCAAGAGTCAGAGTGGAGGGCTCGGCCTCATGTGGGTGGAGGCGTGACGGCAAAACGGAGCGGGCGAGCGAGGTGTCACCCGACACCGCTCGGCCTTATGCTAATGAGGCTCCAGTCCCTTTAACTTATTTCATATAATTTTAGATCTCTAATTGTATTGGAGATTGACTATTTTAACTGAAAGGACTAAAAGTATACTGACGATCCGCCTGAAAAACTTCCCTAGAAATTTGAATCGTGTTCGTACGACTACCCGTTCAATAGAAAGCATCATTCGGAAAACTTCACAAAAGGAGGACAAGTATGAGCACTTTTTAAATTATTTATTGATAGAACAACATTTTTTTAAATACCTAAGAAATCAGAAATATTGAGTCATAATGAAACATATAGGGAATTAAGTGAAAGGCCCGGGGAGGGAGAGGGGAGGGGGCGGAATCATTCATCCAGAGGCATGGCAAGGGTGTCTTCGGGGTCGTCCACCTCTTCCTCCTCAAAGTTTTCATACTCTTCCAACGGCTGTTCAAATAATTCGTCGTTGTCTGATACCCATTCGTCGGGCACATCATCTTCATCCTGAAATAACGAAAACAGGTTAAGAAAAATCCGAGCAACGACTTTATCGTGCATGCAGTTGATGTCTCACCTCATCTGAGTCGTCCTCTAGATTTATTACGAACTGTGTGGGGTTGTCGAAGAACTCGTCCGCGATGTGGTCGATTTCCATCATCTCCTGCTCTCGCTTCATAACGTGCTCTACACAGGCATTCCATTTCTCCGGGGTGATGGTGTCGAATGCTTCGTCGATGAGCTTAGCGACGGACACCATGGTGAATTGGCAGTTGTTCAGGGCGACATACCCCTTCAAAGAACCCCAGACCAGTTCAATAGGATTAAGCTC